ATTTGACAAGACCAACTTACAGGAGGGAAAGGCGTGGTGGTGGGTGGAGGAGGAGGAGGAGGGCTGGGGCTCGGGGGCTGCAACCAGTTAGCTTCGAGTCTACAACTCAATATGAATATTGAAACTCACGAAAGGAGCCGGAGAGGGGACCGGGCTGGGGTGAGGAGCCGGAGCCGGAGCCGGGGCGGGGCCAGGGCCCGGAGCAGGAGCTGGGGCACCAGGAGCCTGGCGTCTCTCAGGAGGAGGAGGAGGGCCAGGAGTGGGGACCGGAGGGAAGGGAGTAGGGATCGGCGGGGGCTTGAAATCATAAAGTCAGTACAAAGGCACGAATTCGGCTTCAAAGGGAATTCTGCTTACGAAAGGAGCCGGAGAAGGGAAAGGAGCCGGAGAAGGGAAAGGCGCCGGAGGCTACAAGTCTTTATTAGCATTCGCTTCTTGAAATCATTCATGTAATGTAGGGGGCTCTTCATGTCAGATGATGGTTCTCAACATTCTAAGAAAGAGATGAACCAGGAAGTTGATTCGATTATGTAAGTAAATCAGAAAAACGGCCGAGTTCTTACAGAAGGAACCGGAGCGGGAGCGGGAGCTGGGCCAGGACCTGGGGCAGGTGCTGGAGCAGGGCCCTGAGCAACGGGTGCGGCAGTGACGAGCGCCGCGAGGGCGAGAGAGAGAATGGCGAATCTCATTTTGGCCGATCTGATAATACAGCAAAAGAAACTGATTGTACACCGTATTTTTTGGTTGGGCAGCGAGCGACAGTCGAATGAGTGATGCGGCTGATGAGAGAAGGAAAAAGATTTCGAGATTTGGTTGCGATGTTGAGGTCTTTATGTATCCATCTGATCGTGTTAATGATATGGAGTCCTTGCGAGATTGCCCTCTAGCCTTAATTCACAGTTTAGCGATTGCCTCTTTCCTATGCCATGCCATGAATTGTTCCTGGATCGAAGCAGCATCTCGCCTGTATTGTTCAGCAATGCCGCGTCATCAGGAACGGGTCTCTGAGCCGCTGTACATCACATGTTGGACGTATCTGGAAGCTTGAAGTTGAACTTCAGCTCGCAGCCGCCAAAACACTTCTCCAGAGTGGAAGTTTTTCTGCGGCCGAAATGGTGCAATCTCGTCCGAGGCCCCAAAGCCGGCTGCATGCCAATACTGTCGTGATAGGGACTCAGTCCAGAGAGAGCAACTATATGACGGTCATCCTGGGGAAACATGGTGGACAGGGATCTCTGAAGGCGGCTAGACGGGATTCTCCTCCTCTGTACACTGTTTGGACAATGTGGTCACCTGTATGTCTGATGTCGTGATGAAAAGTGCCTAGGTAGTGTGCTGGGCATCTGATAAACAGCCGCAGGGTCACTACGACACTAGGCACGCCGGTAGTGAGTGCCCAAGCTGCAGTGCTACAGTGTCAACATAAGGTACCGTACGTCAGGTATTCTCCGATGTTGGTTCCTTGGCCCACCGGCATTTGGAGGTTGCATGTTTTGAAATGTCCACAGATGCATCGACATTCCTCGAGATGCCTTCCAGTATAACGGGTTGCCAAATTGAGCCAAGACATGGGCCGGTCATGACCCGCATCGTTCCAGAAACCCGGTGCCTGTGGGGCCGGGAAGTGGGCGTCTTGCATAGGACCAGGGGTATACTGGGGGTGGCTTATTCTCACTTTCAGACGATGTGCTCACCTACCTGCCCAAAGAACGCACCACAGCCGCGACCGAGGCAATATACTTCTTCCTGTACTTCTGGAAGGGTCCAAGACAATATAGTAGGTGACGCGGCTTGAGCGCCCAGGGCGACTGGTCAGAGTCACATTCCAGCCACATCTCTCGTATGCGGGGAAGTTCGCATAGTTGACCGGCGTCGACTGACGGTCCAATCACGGCAGCTGAGGAGGTCCTTACCATGCGTTGCGATCATATTCCAGCATATTAGATCAGTAGTATGCGGAATTTCCCGCTGTTGGGTCATCCATAACCATGGCTGACACGAACGAGCGATCGCTGATGAACACGCTTACTCAACGACTGATGTTTCCCAAAGCATGTAAGGTGACGCAAGCTTCATCATCTCAAAAAAATAGAAGAGAGCGGCAGCGCGCTGCAATCTAGGTTAGGAAGTTGGATTTTGACTGACTCGATTGTTTGAGCTCGGGTAGGTAAAAGAGTTGGGTGAGGTTTCTAGTAGTTGACGTTTTGTTCTGTTTGTTTGTATACAGGCCGTTCTATCCATTCTAGCCGCCGAGGCTTGTCTTGTCCCCCACCACTCATATGACGACGCCGGGTCTATACTATTCGTTGCGGCAAGAGATTTTGTTCGCTTGAGTTGCCCACGAAAGCGAATATAATACAAAGAGACATGGGAATATAGAGCAATATGGTTAGCACGCGAGAACAGGCCAAAAAGCCCGTGCTTTTTCGCGATATCGCATATGCAGAACCACGGAACCGGGAAAGTCGAAGCGCATGGACTCATTTCGTCTCATTGTCGAGCCCAATGAGCATGTTTCTGACGACAGCCTTGCTATCAGCGCCTTCCGCTTTCGTTGATGCCTCAATCCACTTGGAGAGTTTGTTTCGAAGTGTTTCGACGTCGGCACTCCTCACGTCAAAGGCTCTATCCTCGCAGGCCAGAACAACCTCATCAGGCTCCAGGGCATTGACGCCGCCACCATCCCTGATCATAGCATCATCTGTAACAATTCTGCCAATGGCTTTCTCGGCCTTTGCTGAAGCGAACGGAGGATCGATACCTGCTTTATCCCAAAGGCTGTTGGCGAGATCCAGACATCGCACGATGTGGCCAGGCGCAAGCTTGTTGAGCGCGGATGGCTCCGTTGCGTGCCGTATATTCCGTATCGATGCATCTCGTCTCTCTTGCGCATTGCTTCGCAGCTTCTCGATTTGTTTTGGGATGCGGCAAGTGTACGGGGTCAACTTCGGAAAAGCCAGTACGACGAGCGGCGTGAACTCGCCAAAAACCAGCAAAACCAGGCCAAAGACTGGCAAGCGGGACAGGTCGTGCCGGGTTCGCTCCCTCAAAAGGATTGCAGCCCTGGTAGGACGTACTTTTGTATCTGATGAGTCCTTTAGACTCGCCGGCGCATCTAGACTGTTTGACACTTCGTTCAGCAGCTTTCGATTTGTGTTGATAGCCTTTAGTCCAGCTCTGTAGAATGCATAGTACGTCTTGCCAACGCTGAACAGGTAGCTAAAGAGGGACGCCTCTGGATCTCTAGTAGGAACGTTCAATGGCGGCGGGCGCGTGGAGGCAGGGGGGTTCAACGTGGAGGAGAGAGCGACGTCGGGATCGAGGGTCGCGGTCGCGGTCGAGGTAGCATCGAGAGGAGTAGTTACAGCTTCACTACCGACGGTGCTGTTTTCCTTTTTGGATTCGGCGGCTGCTGAGGAGCTCGAGGCACATCGGCGGTAGACGCGCGAGGGCGCACCGTAGCTCAACTGCCGGCACGGAGAAGACAGCATCATTGTCGTCGCCCGACGCGAATAAAAGGCGGGATGTGCCAATGGCGACGTGGCGCGCAATAGGCGCCTTCCTGTTTGACTGTTCATGGTCGGCGATCTAGCTGACTGATTGACTTGTTGGCAGTGTTGCTACTATTGCTTCATGGCGTTGTGTTCTCGTCGTGGTTGTTCCTAGTAAGCACGCCAACTTTTTTTTTTCCCGTTCCCTTCTCGCTATTCTGTGCTGTCGCAATTGATTGGTGATCAACGACGTCAGGACACGACCATTTTCCAGGGGATTTTCGATCAGGGCCTCCAGGGGTGGCGGCGCGCTAACAAAATCCGGGGTAGCATCAACTCAACAGCGATGCGTCACTGAAACCACACCAGCAGAGGAGTAAAAAGCCCACCAAGCCTCGGCGCTCTAATGACCAAGCTTATCCGCACACACACAGTTCACCCTGCCCAAGATCCATCCGCAACCAAAGTGCCACATGTGATGATACCGTATCAGTGCAACGGTCATTGATCTCACGGGAGAAAACGTTTTGCAATCAAATTATTTTCCGTCGTTGTTTCGGCTTGACGCCATGTAACCAAAAACAATAGGTTGTCCCATTGCCTTGGCCCTATCTTCTCTGCTACCTATCCTACGACTTCTGCCCTTCGGAATGCTACCACACGCTCCTGTACATAGCGGCATTATCGATCCCTTAGAGCTTCGCCGCGCCCGTCAAGAAAGCAGTGCACTCAATCTCAACCAGAGAATTGAAGGGCAACTGGTATACGGCAACGCAAGTGCGACACTGACCAATCCCTCTGATTCAGCAAACACATGTCATTTGTCATTGATTTTATTCTTGGACACTTACCGGCTTCACATCTTGGGTGAAGAACTCGTCGTATGCCTCGTTCATGGTGGCAAAGTTGTCCATGGTGGTCAAGAAGATGTTGACCTTGACGACATTCTTGAGGCTGCTGCCCGCTTCCTCTAGGACAGCCGACAGGTTTTGCAATGCGCGCCTCTGTCGCATGAAGCGTCAGTACACAATTAGTCGACAAGACACAATTCTACCTCCAGAACCATGGACTTACAGTCTCTTCCTTGACACCTCCCTCGACCAGCTTGAACGAGGCCGGGTCGAAGCCAATGTTGCCGGAGCAGTAGACCATGCCATTGTACTTTACTGCTTGCGAAAACTGGGGCAACGGCTTGGGCGCCTTGTCCGTGTGTACTCGCTCAATTGATGCCATGGTTGCCCTTTTCTGTTGTTTCTCGCGATGCAATGTGTGCCGTCGTTGATACAACAAGTGGAAGATGGATTAAAGGTAATATCGAAGATATCTTGGAATCGCGCTGTATAGTTGCAGGCAGCGATGAGATATGCAGTCAAAGAGCTGACAAATAAGTATTTGGCTATCTATCGTAGCGGCCGCGGGGTAAGCCGTTTTCACTACGGAGGATCCTAGACAACAACGGTCGGAGGTGAGCCGTAGTGGTCGGTCGTCGTTTGCCATGCGAAGGGCGTACGGAGAATTATCCGGTCGCTGGTGCTTGCTTACCTATCAACGTCCCCAGAAACATCGCTCTGGTTAGCATAATGCGACATGATTGCAACAACCATCTCGCAGCACAACTATTCAGTAATATCAACAAAGACCACGGCAGTCCATAATCCGTACAATAAAGCTCGTTTTCCACCTTATTCACGAGGTTGCCACTAGAAAGCTCACGATTGAGGAATATACTTGGTCATGATGGTTGTCTACGCTTGTTCAAGGGGTTCAACAAAGACTCATGCTAATAGTGCCCGACAGGAGACCTTTGGGGCCCGCAAATGATATTTTGAAGCTTGCAAAAGAGGCCTATGACTCGTGAAAGCTTTTCAATTATGGCGATGGCGCCCAAATGGTTCTTCATTGCCCTGATCTTGGCTAGGCCCACAAGAGCATGGTCCAGGTACTGTACCTGCACTATGTCGCGCCGGTAGTGTGCCTGTCCACCGCCTAGGGCAATCACACAGAGGTCCCCTGGTTCAATGAGCGTTTGTCGGCAGAGCTTCAGTTTTTTCCAGAAAGCAAAGTTGCAACTCCACGTAAAGTCACACTCTTCGCCAGAGACAAGATGGGAGACACAATACCGACCTCACTGGCCGAGCAGATATCGGAGAAGACTTCAGGCTTCATCCAGTCCAGCAGCCACCGCGATCTCCTCGATATTGTGGATTCTTTGCGTTCGAACGGCGTCAGTCATTATGTTGACCTCCCACAAATCATTGTCTGTGGAAGTCAGTCCAGCGGCAAATCCTCTACGCTAGAAGCCATCTCTGGCATTCCCTTTCCCACGGCAGAAGGACTGTGTACTCGTTTCGCGACAGAGCTTGTACTTCGCCGCGGTGATAAGCCTTCAATCAAGGTCCACATTCAGCCTGCCGCAAACAGGACGGAGGCGGAAAGGATCAATCTCGCAGCTTTTGCAGAAACAGCTACGAATGAGGGTGAATTTCACCAGATTATCGAGTCTGCCAAGGGTGTCATGGGGCTTTCAGAAGATGGAGCAAAGCGCTTCAGCTCAGATGTTTTGCGTATCGAGAGTACCTCTCCAATGGCTCCAAATTTGACACTCGTAGACCTGCCCGGTCTTTTTGGCGCTTCTGACAATTACCAATCAGAAGGCGATGCCGAGATGGTTCAAAATATGGTCACGTCCTATATGAAACAGCGTCGCAGTATTATCTTGGCAGTCGTGACTGCGGACAACCCATTCGCGAACCAGCCCGTCACCAAATTCGCCCGGGACATTGATTCTGCAGGAAGTCGGACGCTTGGATTGATCACGAAGCCCGACCGGATTGACAAGGGTTCTGATACTGAACGGTACTATCTAGAGCTTGCTAAGAACCAAAATGTCAAGCTTACCCTTGGTTGGCATGTCCTACGCAACAAGGGCCACACCACTGCCAGTGACACAATCGAGGAACGCGATGAAAGGGAAACTGAATTCTTTCAAAACTCTGTCTGGAATGATTTGGATCCGTCGCAGCTCGGAGTTGAACAACTGCGGGGCCGCTTGAGAACTGTCCTTTGGAATCAGATCCAGAAGGGTTTACCAGATGTCAAGTCCGACGTCCAGTCTGGCATCAAGGATTGCAAGCAAAAGCTAGAACAACTCGGTGATGCGCGGAGCAGCAGGAGGGAAAAGCACACGTATCTTCATGAAATCAGTCGTCGCCTGTCTGTCTTGGTCCGAGCCGCCATCGATGGCGTATATACTGGCTCCTTCTTCGAGGTGTATCCCAACCAAGAAGACACATTTGATCGACGTCTTCGTGCTCAAATCCAAGCCATCCTTGGGAGGTATTCGGAAAAAATGAGCAAGGATGGCCATGCCTTGGAGATTGTTGATGATTGTCAAGACCCATTGCGATCGTCTAAATTCATGCATCGAGAAGAATATTTGGACATCGTAAAGACCTCCATGTATGAGTGCCGCGGGCGCGAATTGCCGGGCACTTTTAATCCAAGTAAGCAACTTCCATGTCATTTCTCCCCTTTTCAGGGTTGTCTCATAAGCAAACATCGCCCAAAATGTAGCTGCAAGAGAGCCGACTCAGACAAACTGATTCAAAGAGCTATTGCAAACTCATTCACCTATCCGAATAGGCAATTGCTGACACATGTTGTAGTGGTAGTGGCTGACCTGTTCAGCCGGCAATGCAAACCGTGGGAACACATCACGCATACCTTGGTCGAGCAAGTCCACGAGGCTGCCACCAAGACATTTGACAAAATGGTTTCTGAAATATGTGATGGAAACACACGAGACCGCCTCATGAAGGGCCTTATTCAACCTACACTGTCTCAGCTTCGAAAAGAGGTCAGAGATAAAGTGGACGAACTCATGAAGCCCCATCTCGCCATTCATCCCATCACTTACAACGACGACATCACAAAAGGCGTCCAGGAGATCCAGACTAAACGCCACGATCGATACTTCGATACCCTTTCGATGAAAGTCTGTGGAGAGACAGATGCCACTGCCACTGAAAAAGTTTCCGGCACGTATTTGAAAGCCTTGTTGGTCGGATTGAAGAGTGGGACTCGGCCAAATGTGGAAGAGGACACGGCATCTCTTGCCGCTGATGTCGCTGCAGCATATTATGAGGTATTCAATTCCACCGTGAGCCGGGATTATTTTATTCCTTACCCAGAAACCTGATCCTTCGCAGATTGCTTTGGAAAAATTCGTCGACGACATAAGCGTGAACGCGATCGAGGTCTGTCTTGTGCAGGAGCTCCCTGAAGTGTAAGTCGTACACTCACCCAACAGCATATCTACCTATCCATTCGCCACGCCTATGAGTCCACAGCTGACGCGTCACGTATAGGTTCTCTCCCGCCGTGGTATGGGATCTCACCGACGAGGAGATTGAGCAGTTGGGCTCCGAGGCCGACTGGACCATCACCGAGAGGGCCGAGCTGACCAAGAAGCTGAGTGTTCTCGAGCAGGGTCTCCGAGACCTGGATGCCTTCACGGCGAGATCTGGATCACATAAAACCTTGGCGAGACGATCGAGACGCGATTGAGTATGCCCAACCGAGGGTGTGCATTCAATGGCCAAGATACGGAGAAGTCCCTTTCCCGTTCGAGGGCGGCTAACACCGGCGCTTCAACGCTATTGAGGCGTGGATCGTGGAAATCATGGCTGATAGGGGCGGAACGTTACAGCCAATATCGTATTGAACTAGGGTCGCGATGTTTTTGGTGGCGTTGTGGCAATTGTGATGGGGTCTCGGCCAGCTCTGAAGGGACCATGGGCGGCACGCTGTTTAGAAGCAGCCGCCCTCGCTTGATGATGTTTGGTGGAGGAGAATTTGTATTCCGCAATGCTTGATAGACGATGGTAGTGATGGACCATTGATGACTGTGAAATCCATAATATGGACAATTTGATACCAAAATTGAGTTCCTACTCCGGCAGTTCTAGCCGACAGACTATAATTCTGCTTGCTCAGCCTCCCCCGGCTTACAACGGGCACGGCGCATCACGAGACGGTCGGTCACCCCACGTCCGGCCGGCAGCTACCGATCAATTTGTTGACAACGCCAGCTCTATCATTGCTAGAAGATTCGAATCGGTTCGAGAAGAAGTTTCAATTGTTTGCAATCAAAGTGCTACAGTCGAAGTGCTACCATTAAAGGCATGCGCCAGCAAGTCGCTCGTCGGTGGTCCAGATCTCGATGCACGCAGTGGGTGGGTACGGAGACTTTGGTAATGTTGCGTTTGGCGTCGCAAGGCACCAGGGTGCTGTCGTCCACGCACATGCTGCACATGGCACGAACCCACAGCATCCGAGTTGTCGAAAATGGTAAAGAGATACGGCAATGGATATAATGATTGGCCATTTTCATTTGACTGTATAAGGAGTCGTTTAGCTATCAATTGTTCAGTTTCCGTGACTATACTCATTGTTCAAATATGGGAAGCAAAAGATCTGCGTTTAGTGGACCTATTTTAGTGTATGCAATGTGCCGGGTCAGGATTTCCTTCTTGGCACATTGCAACTCATTCACAGGTGTCAGGATGTCCTCGGATCCGAGTTCAATATGCACACCAAGACATGCATATGGTCCAGTAAAAGTAAGTAGATGCGATTGCATCTCTACGACGGGAATAAAGAAGTCGGATTGGTCGTTGTTTTACGCATGGAACGACCGGAATGGAAGTGGGGTTCGCCTAACATGTAATGACGTATCATCGCGTTAAGCTTCACCATGGCACCCTCGTGTCACATCAGGCCACTGCTGCTTGGGCTGCTGCTGGCTGAGAGCTGAGAAGGCCGCGCTCCGGCCGAGTTGCTGATTGCCCAGCACCACAAGGGGAGTGGGTTTGAGGAGACGACTGGCATAAGCGAGCAGTCGTTCGAGTGCGGGATTACCACGCAGGCCACGTTCCAAAACAGTCAATACCCATCACGGCTCGGATCTGCCCTGGTCGTGACCAGAAGTCGACTGCCACCTGCGGGATTGACATGCCGTATAGAGGCCAAAAACGATGGTTCGGACTATTGCTAACCCAGCCGATTGGATCCCACCGACTGATTGACTGTCGGGATCATACATACATCCACACCCGCAACAGCTTGCATGGACCTGGCTTCCAAGCTAGCCTCTAGTCTTGCATGAGACGACCTTTTTACCTATCAACCTGTGCTAAGCAGCGCCATCAGGTTCCTGTTTACTATGCGGAGACGGTATTTAGTGTTTAAGAGGGAGAAAACTTACATATAAGTTGCCCTTGGCCTCCGTGAATCTTCGTGGGAGCTCTCTACTTTACTCCAAACATACATTTCAACCATCAGTGCAATTCATCTGCGTAGCTCGAGGCCGTGGAATCCATCTGGGACCTGCCTTTCACAAAGCCCCAGCTAAGCTATACCGCATCTCACCGTCATGGAGTGCGATAAGGCAACCGTGGACGAGATTCGTCCTTTCGGGACAGCTCGATCTACCGTCGCGGAAAAGCCTCTCTCGGAAGAAGAGCTCAAGAAGTACGATGACTTTTTCAAAGCCAGTCTGTACCTCTGTCTCGGCATGATATATCTCATGGAGAATCCACTTCTTCGCGAACCCCTAAAAAAGGAGCATATCAAAGCCAGACAGCTGGGCCACTTTGGTTCGGCTCCCGGGCAGATCTTTACGTATATGCACTTCAACCGTCTCATCAAAAAGTACGATCTCGACGCCATCTTCGTATCCGGCCCAGGTCACGGTGCGCCAGCTGTGCTATCTCAAGCCTACCTAGAGGGAACCTATTCAGAGGTGTATCCCGCCAAGTCCGAGGACCCCGAGGGCATGCAGAAGTTCTTCAAGCAGTTCTCCTTCCCAGGCGGCATCGGCTCGCATGCCACGCCAGAGACACCTGGAAGTCTCCACGAGGGTGGCGAGCTTGGGTACTCCATCTCCCACGCCTTTGGCAGCGTCTTTGACAACCCAGAACTCATCACGGTCACCATGGTCGGAGATGGTGAGGCCGAGACTGGTCCCTTGGCTACTTCGTGGCACAGTAACAAGTTCCTCAACCCCATCACTGACGGAGCTGTGCTTCCGGTCTTGCATCTCAATGGATACAAGATCAACAACCCAACCCTTCTCGCCCGTATTCCCCACCAAGAGATTGCGCAGCTCTTCAAGGGCTACGGTTGGGAGCCATACTTTGTCGAGGGTGACGACATTGAATCCATGCACCAGGCCATGGCCGGCACGCTCGAGCACTGTGTAAAGGAGATCAAGAAGTTCCAGAAGCAGGCCCGCGACTCGGGCAAGCCGTTCCGTCCCCGGTGGCCCATGATCATCCTCCGCACCCCCAAGGGCTGGACAGGACCCCGAAAGCTCAACGACCACTACCTGGCTGGATTCTGGCGGGCGCACCAAGTGCCCATTACCGACGTCAAGACCAACCCTGCCGATCTCAAGGTGCTGGAGGACTGGATGCGCAGTTACGAGCCCGATCGGCTCTTTGGCCAGGACGGCAGGATCTCCAAGGAGCTTCAAGAGGCGATTTGCCCTGCGGGTAACCGTCGTATGAGCGCCAACCCCGTGGCCAACGGTGGACTGCTGAAGAAGCCACTCAAGATGCCCGACTTTAAAAAATATGAAATCAAAGTGGACCAGGGCGGTGCTGTCAAGGCAGGCAGTATGAAAAACTGTGCCAATTTCCTGAGAGACATCATTGCGGCTAATCCGACCAACTTTCGCCTATGGGGCCCCGATGAGACCGAGTCCAACAAGTTGGCCGGGGTGTACGAAGCGGGTAAGAAGGTCTGGCTGGGTGAGTACTTTGAAGAGGACTCGGATGGTGGCAATTTGTCGCCCTTTGGCCGCGTCATGGAGATGCTGAGTGAGCACACCTGTGAGGGCTGGCTCGAAGGCTATGTACTCAGTGGTCGCCATGGACTTTTGAACAGCTATGAACCCTTCATCCACATCATCGACTCCATGGTGAACCAGGTAAGTTCTCACATACTATTTACCGAGGCGGTGTAATACTAACAGGTCGCAGCACTGTAAATGGATTGAAAAGTGTTTGGAGGTTGAGTGGCGTGCACAGATTGCCTCCCTCAACATCCTGCTGACTGCAGTGGTATGGCGTCAGGATCACAATGGTTTTACACACCAAGATCCCGGTTTCCTCGACGTTGTCTGCAACAAGAGTCCTGAAGTTGTGCGCATCTATCTTCCGCCAGATGGCAACTGCCTGCTTTCAAGTAAGTGTCACCGCATTTAAACAAATAGAGTAAAGTACTAACTAGCACAGCCATGGATCACTGTCTCAAGTCGTCCAACTATGTCAACGTCATCGTTGCCGACAAGCAGGACCACTTGCAATATCTCACCATGGAAGAGGCAGTCGAGCACTGCACCAAGGGCATTGGCATCTGGCCACAATTCAGCACTGACACTGGGGAGGAGCCCGATCTCGTCATGGCCAGCTGCGGCGACATTGCGGCCAACGAGTCGCTTGCCGCCATTGACCTGCTCCTCCAGAACTTTCCCGAGCTCAAGATCCGCTGCGTCAATGTCGTCGACCTATTCAAGCTGATTCGTCACGATGACCATCCCCACGGTCTCAAGGACCCGGAGTGGTCGGCCCTCTTCACCGACGACAAGCCCGTTATCTTCAACTTTCACTCGTACCCGTGGCTCGTGCACAGGCTCATCTACAGAAGAGCCGGCAGCCACAACGTTCACGTCAGAGGTAAGCCACGACACTTATCGCTCATGTCCCCATCTCCCATGACTAACCTTGTAAAACAGGCTACAGGGAAAAGGGCAACATTGACACGCCCCTGGAGCTGGCCATTCGCAACGGAACCGACCGCTTCAGCCTGGCCATTGATGCCATTGACCGCATGACGCACCTGCACAACCGGGGCGCGGCCGCGCGCGAGAAGCTCAAGAATGCCCAGCTCGCCGCTCGCAACCACTCGTACGAGATTGGCATGGATCCCGAGTACCTGAGTGACTGGAAATGGCCACAGCAGAAGGGCTTACTGGAGAGGAACAAGGAGCGGCTGGAGAAGTTGAACCTGACCTCGTAAATGGCAGGGCACTGGGCGGCTTTTGTGTTTTGGTTGGAGTCATTTAGATACGTGTCGAGGTTGTTTGGCAAAGTCTACCCAAGGGCCAGTCGAGGGCTCCGACTGTTCTGAGATCAGTCGCAAGCAAAGTATTTCTTAGCGTCATGAACAGACCTTTCCTTTTCTATCCATATCATGACTGTCTTCCAAAAAGAAATTGTCAGAGAAATGGCCACCACTGACTTTCTAGTCTACCTAGTATCTGCTACGTTAGTCGTGGATCAGATGAAATTGAAAATGCTGATGGAGTAGGCGGTGAGACTTGAATCGCCTGAATTTACAATAGTTCTGCCAAAAGTCTTGTCAAAGGCTTGGACATTGATCTATTAGTTTTGCTTACATGTTGACTCTCACATTGATTATGAACTTGGCGTGAGATAAAAGCTTGGCGAGTTGACTCTGATTCTTGGCATTCGGTGGCTTTTCATGTACAATACAATTGAATCAAGACTAGTAAATTAGGTGTGCAACAGAGGGTCAGCAAGTTGCATATGACAAGACATTTCTTGAAGTCTTAATTGGATCGCTTGAGTCTTGCAGAGGCAAGTGGCTAGGCATAGAAGCACGCAGGGAAGGGCGGAAAGGCGGCATTACGAAGTATACCTGTATATATAAAAAAATTTTTTTTGAATAATGGATCCAAATAATTTATTATTACAAAGCTTTTGGCTTATGGAAAGAATATCTCCTCTAGAATAAGCAAATTCTACTTTTAAAAGATTCCGTTACATATGGTAGGTATAAAGGCACTACTGCCAATGAAGTGATTTGCTGTATTTCAGGGCTACGACCGTATTCCTACCACTTGCTCTAGGACGGTCCTTTGCGTATACACACCTGGTCGCATATTCCTACCGGCCAAGTATGGAAACAGAGCTCTCACCCCCCGCCATGGTACGACATGAGCTCCTGTTTTCATGCACAGTGACGCTATTTCGGGTTTTATACCCTTACCAATGATCTTATTCATCCAATGAGGGGTTGGACTTCGACCGTAGATGCTGTGCTTGTGCGTTAATCAGCCGCAAGCATAATCGCTCTGCAGCCATGTAAAAGGACATTGCAGGACGCAGACACACATGCCTCCCGAACCTCTTATACTGTCAAACACTGCGAGTCTGACTATTCCAATCATCTTTCGAGAAGGTATGGCCACGAAACACATAAAATAGGACCACATACGCCAGTCGAAAATCATTTACTACAGGTTCTGTTCACTCCCTCGTTACTTTCTCATCATGGGCTCATTAAATAATATCCTAAGTAAACTCACTGAAGACTATGGGACCACCGGGATAACCATCTTCACCATCGCCGTCACTGTTATGGTGATGGCAATATGGATGACTGCTCAGTGGTACCGCCTCAGTCACATTCCGGGACCATTCTTTGCCTCCCTCACCAATATCTGGGCCTTTCGCGCTTCCATGAGTGGGCATTACCACGTCATTGTCCGGGATCTTCAAGAAAAGTATGGCGAAATTGCCCGAATCGCGCCCAATGATGTTCTGATTGCGGATCCCGATACTCTCTGGAAAATCAATTCGGCGCGTTCCGTTTGGGGCCGTGGTGACTGGTACGGGAGTATCAGGTCAGTCAACCCAAGCTTCACCATATCTTGAAGACACTGACCTTGATCACTTTTCAGATTCAACCCTCAAGGTGACACGGTCTTTACCGAGACTGACACGGCAGCACATGACAAGCGCAAGGCAAAGCTCATTTCTGGGTTCTCGGGCAAGGGTCTCGTGAATATTGAGGGCAACATCGATATCCAGCTCGGCATTCTGGTGGATGTGCTCAAGCGCAAGGTCAGTGGAGGCAATGGAGCTAATATTCTGGATCTGGGCCGCCTGCTCCAGCTTTTCCAAGTCGACCTTATTGCTCTGGCTGGTACGGGACAGTCTTGGGGTAATCTGATCACAGATACGGACCACTACGGCTATCTCAATATTGGTGACGATCTCTTGAAGTTCACCCAGTCAAGTGCTATGATACCATCTGGTAAGTGGACCCGCCTTTGTGTTCTGTTTTCGAAATACATGACCAAAGAGGCTCTTTCGTTTATTATCAAAGGCCTGCGGTTTTCATATGCGCGGCAATCATCAAAATTGTAACCATGTATCATGTGAGAATATCTGCCTACTAACAGCCCGCTCAAGTTCGACACGTGCTATTCTCTCCTCTATTCCTGCGACTATTCGGCCAAGATACACGTACTGGATGGCTTGGGTCCGTACTCTCATTACCCATGAGCTGTTTACCGCGCTGATAATATCAAAAGAGCCCTCAAAACTGCCGTGAAACGGCATACATCCGACATCAATGACGAAAAGCCACGAGATACAATGCTGGTAAGATATTGAATTCTAGACAGAGGAAGCGATAGGGAATACTAATAATGTTCCTTCTCACTAGGCCGAATGGCTCAAACACGACCTGTCGCCCTTGCAAGCGGAGCTCGACCTCTCTATCCAGTTACTCGCCGGAATCGAGACTTCCATCTACACCATTAGAGGGACACTGCTGTACTTGATGACCGCACCGCGGGTGTATAATAAGCTCAAGAGGGAGATTGCTGAAGGGATCCAAAATGGCCGCATCTCGACTCCGATCAAGGGTGACGAGGCAAAGAATTTACCATATTTGCAGGTATGAAACCCTCCAAAGTCGGCTCCGTGGAACTCTTGAGGTTGCGATTGAGGCCTGAACTAACGATCTATTAATACAGGCAGTCATCAGTGAAGGTCTCCGCATATCAACACCCGGAACCGCCGGCTTTCCCAAGAGGGTTCCCCCAGGAGGCGAGGTCATTTGCGGCAAGATGTTGCCGGCAGGAACTGATGTCCACGTGAACTTTGCCGCACTCATGACCAGCCGCGAGGTCTTTGGTGACGATGCGGATGTGTTCCGGCCCGAGCGCTTTCTCGAAGACGACGAAGAAACGAATACGAGGCGCCGCAAGGTGGTGGATCTCAACTTTGGTTTCGGTCGATGGCTATGCCTGGGTAAAGTCCTGGCACTTTTGGAGATGAATAAGATTTTTGTCGAGGTGAGTTGATCATGGCCTGTCACGACATCTGTGTGATGTATTTACTTACGAACCTCCTCATCCAGCTGTTGAGAGTCTTTGATTTCCAGATTGCAATCCCGAAAAGCCTTGGAAGCGCGAATCAGCTGCCACGTATTTTGTCAAGGACTTTGTGGCTCGTGTAACATGCGATCCGATTGGCTGAGGTGTGATTGCTGAGACTTTGGTGCCTGGTACAGAACTGAGACGTCTTTATATAGTTCCCCTTGTCAGTCGGGCCAAGATGATGGTCTCATCTTACCCTCCGTTTACACAGCAGGTCAGATTTGTCGGATATTATCATGGTAGATAATTGGTAGAAAGATGTTATTGTACATTAAATGCCATCATTACTGCTCGCTAAATCATTTTCGTACTCATCATGTCGCTATGGAGTTTTGCTCTCAACCTGGAACTCTTTTGTCACCTTGATCGAGGCATTTTGATTATGTTCGGGCCCGAGAATGGACAATTCACTTCCACTGTCCCGTTCGGCAGCTCCTACTGCGAACGCGTCCTGTTTGGATTGATGAATATCGCTGCGCAGGACCAACTGCTCATCCGTTGCCCGGCTGTCCCGTCTTTCGTATCGGTCGCTCGTATTTGTGTTGTTTTGCGCCTTGAGCTCACTGCCCCCAATGGTGTGCATGGCAAAGACGCCGCCGCCGCCGCCCCCCGCGTTCTTGTGCTTCATCCATCCCGAGTTCCCGCTGGCACTGAGGTCTTCTCCACTGCGACGGCCGCTCATCCACGTACCGAACCAGTCCCGGTACAAGGGTCGACACACGGGGATGCCGACGCACACCAAGGTGGTGCAGAATTCGGCAGCGTGCCAGATGATGATGCCAACCACATCCTTGAGGTAGTTTGGGCTGCCCAGGTTCTTGAGCTCAATCGCCCGCTTGATGCCGCACGCACCCGCCAATACTCCCAAGCTCATGGATATGCCAATGATCATCTTCTCCCGTCTCGGCATATTCAAGTTCCATAGCAGCCACCAGGGGAAGGCAGCATAGAAGAAGTCGACAATGACGGACCAGCACCCAGCGTATGTCGAAATGTGACCCGGGTCGATCGGACAAGTACCGTCGAGTCGTCGGTCCCACAGATACGCAACGGGCACGCAAGAGAACCAAAACACAAAGAGCGACGCGACAATGGCGGTGGCGAGGAAAAAGTTGGGGACCCAGATGGCGACCTGGTCGCGGCGCGTGGTGACGAGTCGGAGGAGGAAGAGGGCGAGGGAGGTCTTCGATAGCGCGGTGCCAAAGACGAGCACCGTCTGGCCTATGGCCGAGTATAAAATGGCTCTCGTTATGTTCTCCATGCCGTCCACGGTACCCTTGGCGGCAATGATCCCTGTCATGTCTTGACCGAAGCCGTAGTAGGATGCTATGGTCAACATGACATCGTATATTAAAAGAGAAACCTGGTGTCAGATAAAATTAGTGAACCTGATTGCCAGCCATGATGCAATGAATCCTAGGGGTTGTCCCTTACAAAAGAGGCATTAAAAAAGTGGTCGTCGAGTCCGTAAGCCTGGACAACCTTGATACGTGTATACAGTCGCAAAACAACAAAGATAAATGCCACGCTCGTGAACCCCCACAGTAGCCCCAGCATCATGGGAGCATCTCCACCGATTCCGATCATCAACGAGTTGTCCATCTTGGTGACAAGGCGAGACTACTGGCAAGCAGCCTCCAAAATGAAAAGGGTGCAATCTTGAAGATTGCAACAACAACGATTGCGTCGCTGGCTTGTTAGAGGCCCGTCATCGAGGGAAAGAAAAACATGAGAAACAGAGAGACATTCAGTAACAGTGACAAGAGGAAAACCTGCGTTCAAAAGGGATGCTGAAACAATTATACCTGGTTACAGTCGCCGAAGTTCGAAAACTTTATTTGTGCCATGACTCGGAAACTAAGATGTCACAGTCGCAGTCCAGCCCTTGAGATCTAACCCAAAACTCCTCTCTGCGATTAATTTTCCTCCCTAGGGTCAAGAGTCAGCTCGAACAGCCGGACTGTCATAGAGTCACATCGCTGGCCGGGACGCGACAGGGACCGTGGCAGGGACCTGGGACTTGACAGGGACTTCTACAGGGACCCCTGCCTGCCACGCTGCTTGACACAGAGACACAATACGGGGGAAACCAGCACTTACATCTTCAGGTAATCATGTGACAATGGGGTATCAGATCTTCGGATCGGGTGGATTTTTCTGCTCTTGAAGAATGACCGGCAGCAGAATGCTCCGTAATGAGATCCACGTATGGATGGATTATAGAGATCTCATTTCAGATCTATTGGACCCTTATGCAAATATCTCATAGCTGCTAGTCATTTGAGTTATTATTAGTCTTCAGCCGCATTCCATCGACTATATTCCAGTGCTGAAGGCGATTCATGTGTCTGCCGCCTCCTTGACTCCTATTCTCTTCTGCCGAGCCCAATCGAAAATTTCTCTCATTCCAAGAAGCCGTTTGGGGATCGGCAGTCACTCACCTGTAAATTTGACCGACCAAGTCTAGCGGTTCATACGCCTCCTGCATGCCGAGGTTGTAGCCCGAATGCACTTTTACTTGCACTAGGGCATATTTGGAGTCACGGCAATTTTATGTCCAATTATGTCAACCGCTATCTGTATCATTGATATCTAGAGTCTCCACCCGTGACGGGCACTTGGTCCACCGGACTGACCGGGGAGCCTAGGGAGGTGTTCCGAACCCCTGCCACAATCTACGGGGGTTAACTCATAGTGCCCGGTTAGTGGCAGAGACGATGGAGACGTATCCGATCCTTGCTTGGGGTTTCGTGGCAAATTCATGGCATAACCCTTGGTAATAGGTAGCAGTGCGTGTTGTGCAGAGTGTAGTATACGAATAGTGAACGAGATATTGGCAAATGCTTGGATGGATGGGGGAGGGAACCATGAGGGGGGGAATGGCGATGAGTATACCCGATATATGGGCCCTATCCGAATTGGAAAACTCATATTACTCAGTCTTCCTGCTTCGAGTCGTGGACCTTTTTTGAACCTTATGAAAAGCCGAAATCATACCTACTATTCAGCGCTCGGACGGCAATACGACTGTTGTTCTGAACCTGCAGCCCGGCAGTAGTAATCCCATATCAGAGTGGACCAAACATGAACGGCAACGACAAGAACGCGACAGCCATTGTCGGCAGTCTCCCGCAAGAGCTCAAGAATACTCCAACGCTGCTCGTATTGCTTGTCCTAGTCCCCATAATCACCGGTCTCCTCTCCTACATAGTCGATTACTTTTCCTCCCCATTGCGGAAATATCCCGGCCCCTTTCTTGGACGTAGGTGCTCGAGGCTGAGTTCAGCCCACTCCCACAATACTGACAAGGCTTAGGATGGACGAATCTATATCGCATGTATCACGCCTGGCGCGGTTCCATGCACCTGGTTTCCAAGGACCTGCATGACAAGTACGGACCAGTCGTTCGTATGGCCCCCGGCTATCTGGACGTGGACTATTCGTCATTGATCAAGACATGTTTCGATGTTCAAGGAGTCTGGGAAAAGGTATAGTGATGGCACTTTTGGCTTTCGTTCTCCGCATTTTGACTTGTTTCTGTCACGGCTCTCCACTTTTCAACCCTGGTACACGTAATTTGAAACATGCAACTCTAAAGATCGGCAACTGACATGGTATTACATATCCAGACTGAATGGCACGGTGTCAGCGGCGCCGTCGTTGACGGAAAACTCTTCTATAACATATTTTCCGAAACTCGGGCAGCTGAGCATGCTAGAATCAAGAAGCCCATCGCCAAGTATTTTTCTCCAAGTGGAGTTGCTCCTCTTGAGCCGCACGTCGACGCGGTGCTGGCATCACTCTGTCGCATCTTGAGCGATCGGTTTGCTGGCGACGGCAAATTTGGCGATGCCTTTGACTTTGGAAAATGGGTGCTGTACTGTAAGTCTTCTCTTACTGCCTATGATTAATTGAAGAGAGGCTCACAGTTCATGTGTATAGTTGCTTGGGATGTCGTTGCAAAGACAACTTGGAGTCAACGAGTTGGCTATCTGGAAAAGGGATACGACTTTGATGGATCTCTCAATGTGTCTGAAAAGGCCATGGATTATCTCGTCACCATAGGCATGTATCCAAAGCTCGACAAGTATCTAGACAAGAACCCCTACGTTCGCATCGGGCCCCCGGCCTTTGGCAGCATCACCAACCTTGGCCTCGGCCATCTCATGGCGCGCATGAAGGGCGAGGACAAGCACGATCCTGCCAAGCCGGATTTCTTGGACCGCTACCTCGAGGCACAGCAAAATAACCCCGAGGTTGTCGACGTCTACCGCATCCTGTCGTACATGCTGGTCAACCTCGCGGCCGGTTCCGACACGACTGCCGTGAGCTTGCGCTCCATCTTTTACCTCTCGCTCAAGCACCCGCACGTCTACCGCCGCCTCGAGGCCGAGATCCTGGACGCAAACTTTTCCAAGTTGCCTGCTTCCTATGCCGAGAGCCGCAAGTTGCCATATCTCGAGGCCGTCACGCGCGAGTGTCTACGCTACCTGCCAGGTAACTGCTTCGCGCAGGAGCGCTACGTCCCCGCTGGCGGCCTGACCTTGCCCGATGGCTCGCACGTACCGCAGGGCACCGCAATTGGCTTCAATGCCTACGTGCTACACCGCAACAAGCAAGTCTGGGGCGCCGATGCCGAAGAGTTCGTGCCCGAGAGGTGGCTCCCGGCCGCGGGCGAGTCGGGCGAGGCCTTTGAGGCGCGGCTGCAAGCCATGAATAATGCAGATCTTTCCTTTTCGGCGGGCTCGAGAAAGTGCATTGGCATGAATCTCGGCAAGATGGAGGTTAGCAAGTCGGTGGCGACCCTGATCAAGCTGTTTGCCTTTGAGTTGGCGGACCCTAGCAAGGAGTGGACGATTCACAACAGCATCTTCCCGAGACAGTCTGGGGTGCTACTTAAATTAAAGGCACGAGACGGCACTTCCGAAGAGGTGGCTGCGATGGATGTAGACTATTGATCTTTGGTCATTTGAAATGTGCGCGATGTGGAATGGGGGCATCGTTCCACGATTTCAGGTAGAACAAGTCAGTTCGCGGTTATAAGCATCAGAATTTCGATAATGTGTGCTTCATTCAGGTTGCTAAAGAGGGAGGGAATATATCAGTGCTTATTCCTGGGTCGCTCGGCGGAATCCTCCCTGCAGCTGTATCAATGTCCCTATAAGACTTCATACGTGGTAAAACCGGTAGCCATACTTTTGTTGTTACAGCCATGCCCCAAATTGACCGGTGACGATACTCTCCACGCCCTCCATAGTTGTTCAGAAACAACCAACTCAAAAATGGTATTCTATACTTCGCCATCAAAAGCCATCTTCATGTTCCATGCGAAGACTATCCTGTTCCCCGAGTCAATCAAGATCATGATCGTCATCCTCATGAATATCATCCTCTTCATCATCGTGCCCCTAGCAACAACCAGAATGCTCATGGTCGATATCCTTGAAAGCACTAACGTCATACTCGCCATGGTTCGATACGTGTATTACCACGTGAAGGTTCGGTCGCCCAAGTCGCTTGGCAGTTCGCCAGACGCGGCCGAATACTTGATCGTGCCCCAGGTAATTCCTTTGCTGCAAGATACCCATTCCTGTCAACAGGGCTGTCCATTTGGGTTGGCATCGATCCGTGCCGAAGCCCAAGTCTCTGTAGCAGGTATTGCGTACATGGAGTTGGCGGCCAATTACCTCCAAGATTTGCTCATGATCTGAATGACATACTAAACACCTGCTCATCTTGGAGGAGCGCCCATCAATGCTCGTCCATGATCTGCAGTAAGGTTGCCCGTTGACGGTAGACCTGATTGTGCTTTTTGCCACTTGCCAGCCGTCCTGCTCAACAAAGGAAGGCCGTCCAACAGTAAACGTTATGTGGGGGCATTCGGTGAACTCGATGTCTTTGATGTTGAAGCCTTTCTCTACAACATAGCTGATTTCCTGTTTCTGTAGGAAACTGCCATTCTCGAAGTAGACCTCGCTCGACCATGCATATTCTGGGCCGTTGTTGTAAAAGTGTGCGATACCGCTGCATGATAGCTCTGGGATGAAGGCAATAGGGACATTGACATCGAGCTGCCGGCGGATACAGTCGAGGTGGTAGAAAGCAAGGTGGTACGGCATGCTTGGGTGGATGGGTGTGAGGGTATTGACCGACAGGGGATCGAATGGTAGGGATGAGAAGAACAGAGGCTCAGTCTTCGTATACGTGTCTGGAGTTTCCAAGGCTTCTTTGGGAAGAGCTGTGCCCTGAATGATGGACCAGATCGTATCCAAGAGGCGACACAAGGATCTAGAGCCCTGTAATTTAGGAGGCAGAAGGGTATTGTAGTAGGTGGGCTCTTGCGCTGGGTTGTGTTGGCGGCAGCCTCGGTCAGAGTGGCAGCAGACACATGGCGGATGGCCCCACCATTGATCACTCTCCTCGACTCGCGTAATAGAAGAGTGGATGCTTGAAGAGTTGAGCCCCTTCTTCGGGGAGTCTTCATCCATTCTTGTCGTTTACCTGAAAAGGCGAGATTGCAGCGCTTGTTTTCCGATTTCTATGTATGTTAGATTCTCGGCGCAGTGAATATGGTCCTTGAAAACATGAATATTGCGGTGATCTTGTTGTAAGAAATAGAGGACTACCAAAGAGAGATCAGATAATCAAGTGAAAGACCCCAGAGGAAGCAGGCAGGGAGCAATAGATCTTAAGTAAAGGCAATCGGCAATCTGACAATCCTCTGTTCGGGGCTTTTATGCGGCTTTGACATTTTCTCGGCGGAATAAACTCTTGGAGAAACCTTAACCATTTGATCCACAGGGTCTTGTTCTCTCTCTCTCCCCCTTCCTCTTCTTCTTCTTTTCCCTCTTTGCTAATTTCTCATTTATTGTCTCTTTCTCACCGCTGCCGTGCCATTCGGCTCCTCGAGCCGTACAATATCTATGACTTGGAGGGCGTCGACAAAAGCGAGATTGCTGATGAGAGAGAGACAATCGATGGCGATGGCCTAAACTGTATTTTGAAACTTTGACCACAACAGCAATGTGCCAAGTGACATGACAACCGCCTGAGCACCACTCTGTCCCCGGGAAGTTGAGAACCCAATACGAGACGCATTACAAAGCATCAGGCGAGAAACGTAAGCTTGAAGGCTTCAATTGAGACTAGTGCAAGCTCACTGGGGATGAAGGGAACATTGAGAAGCATTTTCGATTCATTAGATGTCTATATCGGCTTTAGAAATTGAGTGCCTTATGGCGCAGCAGAACGGGAGTGAAGACCAATGTCCTTGCGGTTCCTGGTGAACCAAGCACATATCCTTATTACCCTCAGTACGCGCTTTGCTTCACAACTTCCATCCATTCCCAACAACATTTTTTCTCAACTAAATATGCCGACACAACGCAATGCCGCGACTTCCGAAAGAACAGTAATGGCGAGAATGACCCGTAGAATCGCCAGGCCTGGACTCCCTGAGCAATTCGCGACCAGGCAGACCGCGCTCGCCTCGCGCACCAGGCGGGCCTTCAGAGCCGCTGCAGCCACATGCGCCAGCCGGGCCAGGGGGCCAGTGAGGCCAGGCGGCTCGTCTGGCTCTGGCTTTCTGACCTGAGGCTCGCAGCCTATCGTGAAGTCAACTAATGGACTGTTGAGATATTCAAAAGGAATGAAAAATGTTATGAAAAGTGCTGTTATTCAAATGCAATATACCTTTACGATGAATGAGCCCGAAGACTCACTATATGGTGAATAAACATGAACACCAAACCAGCCACGGTCTGGACAGTTAGACATAGTTTATTCCACCATGCTGTAGTATATACATCTAAAATCTCTCCGGTCGGGCTCATAGTGGTGGTGAAGCGGGCTTCATTGCTGCTGCTGCTGCTGCTGCTTTTGCTTTTGCTTTGATTCTTCTTTTCTTTCCATTTGGTACGGCCTGAAGAGGGAACCAAAAATGCAGACAAGGGAAAAATAAATTCCTCAGTGGATTGAAAGGGTTTAAACAATGGTATCCAATATCATGGAAACTGGTGTAAAAGCTTTGCCCCAGTATGGGAATTTTCTGTGGGCAATGGAGATTGTTTGTTTTGTGGAGAATGGAAAAGGAGGGAGAGAGAGAGAGAGAGAGGAAGGAAAGAAGT